TTTGTGATTGTTCTTACGCCTTTTGCCACTTTAGCACTCATAATGTCCTTTTTCTTGCTAAGTATAGTGCATATCGTTGATGTAGCTTTGTTGTACTGCCTACAAAGTTCAAGAACACGTGTACCATTTTCATGCTTTCGAATGATCTCTTGTTTTTCCTCTATTGTCATCCTCACATGAGCTTTCTTGCCTTGATCCTTACTACTGGCTTTCTTGGGACCCATGGTGAGATATATAATAACTTTTATGGTCAAATGACCAAAAATCCAACAAAACACTGAAAATCCGGGTGAAGAATTGACGTGGGATAGTCACTGGGCGCGAGACACTGGTAAACTGAGGGGTGAGGGGCGACGATCACCGTACAACCACGCGCTAGTTCGGTCTGTACACGTATCAACAAACTCGCCTTCCGAGGCACATTTTCCGAACAAATCCTGCTCATATTCCGAAAAACTCTTATTCAGGGACACTCGTATTCCGAGGTACCACTGTATATATAATATATAATATATATATATATATATATATATATATATATATATATTATATTATATATATATATATATATATATATATATATATATATATATATAATATATATAAAATATATAATAAGTTATTACGAAACGCGTTCAAGCGTCGCGTCAGACTAGAAATAAAAATGAATTTTGGAAAAGTGATTTTTCAATTACCATCGACAGTAGAAAGAAACATAGGAGAAAATTTGTGTTAGAATGAATAAATATATTTTATATACATACATAAATACATAAACACACACACACACACACACACACACACACACACACACACACACACACACACACACACAGCGACATATGCTGAAGTTGTAAAAGAGAAAGAGACTATCAAAGAAGTGTGTTCGGAAGTCAAAACCAGAAATGACCAACAAGAAGCAGAAATTAGGCAAGCAATTAGGAAAGAACTGGTTACCAACAGTAAACTGGTACAAAACACTGCAGATAGAACTAAGTCCATAATCATTTTTGGATGTTTAGAGAAGGAAATTTCATCTAGGGTGGACCGAGCGGCAGAAGAGATGAAAATCATAGAGAAAATAGTAGGTTTAGGAGAAGGCTCAAAGGAAAATGTCAGTGATTTTAGAAGAATAGGAAAATATGAGAAAGAAAAGAACCGCCCCTTAAGGGTGACCTTTAATGGAGTGAAAAACATGATGGAAGTGCTAAGAAATGCCAGGAAACTGCAGAGTGATGAGGTTGGCAAATCTTGGTCAATAAGACAAGACCTCTCCAAGGAAGACAGAGAAAAGCTGAAAATGAACTTAATTGAGGCAAAACGGCTAAATGGGGATACTATATAAATGAAGAAGACAGAAATTCTTTTTTTTACAAAGTGACAGGGACTGGAAAGCTTGTGAAATGGTACATAAAAACAAAGCAACAAGATCAGTAGTGGAAGGGGGAGTAAAGAGCAAAGGAAAAGGGAACATGTTCCTGAAAATTGTATATACCAACATAGATGGAGTGAGGTCAAAAACTTTGGAGTTGCAAGATATAATCCAGCTTAGGGTCCCAGATATTGTTGCATTATCAGAAACGAAACTTGAAGGAAATATAATAAATGAAGTCATATTCCCAAGAGGCTACTCAGTTTGGAGACGTGACAGGAAAACTAGGAAGGGAGGAGGAGTGGCTGTACTGGTGAAAAAACACCTGAAGGTAAAAAGAGTTAATATTTGAAAACACTCGAGATATTGACATAATGGCATTGCAGGTCTGGAATCAGGATGATAACCTGATAATTGTAAATACCTACAGCCCACCAGCAAGCAACACGTGGACAAAGGAAGAACTGGATGACAAACGAGAGGGCCTCATAATGGTCATGAGAGATATTATTGTACAAGCAGATAAAGATAAATCACGACTGTTGATACTGGGGGACTTCAACTTTAGAGCAATAGACTGGGAGGCCTATGAAGCCAGAACGGAGGACTTTTGGACATGCAGATTTGTGAACCTCATTCTGGAGACATTCTTGTATCAACATATAAAGCAAGCCACAAGAATGAGGGAAGGAGATATACCGTCAGTACTGGATCTAGTATTCACCAGGAAAGAAGAAGAGATTTTTGACATCCAGTACCTTCCTCCCTTGGGAAAGAGTGATCACGTCCTGTTAGACATTAAATATGCTTTAAGATATCATCTAGAAGAAAATGGGGACATTGAAACAGTTGATAAACTCGATTTAAAGAGAGGCAACTATGGGGAACTTCGAAATTTTTTTAATGAGTGTAATTGGACAGAATTGTTGCTAGGCAGGGAAGTAAATGAAATGTATGCCAAATTTTTAAAACTATACGAGGAAGGCACACAAACATTCATACCAAAACAGAGATGCAGGACCAGAAAACAGGATTGGTTCGACAGAAATTGTGAGAGGGCAAGAGACCAAAAGACACAAAAATGGAATCAGTATAGGAAGAGGCCAAACCCCCAAACATACCAGCGATACAAAGATGCGAGAAACAATTATACAGCAGTAAGGAGAGAGGCAGAAAGAAATTTTGAAAAAGGGATAGCAGATAAATGTAAAACAGAACCGGGCCTATTCTACAAATTCATAAACAACAAATTGCAGGTAAAGGATAATATCCAGAGGTTGAAAATGGGAAACAGATTCACGGAAAATGAAAAGGAAATGTGTGAAACATTAAATGAAAAGTTCCAAAGTGTGTTTGTACAAAATGAAATCTTCAGAGAACCAGACACAATAAGAATTCCAGAGAACAACAGAGCGGATAGAGGTGTCTAGAGTTGAAGTGGAAAATATGCTAAAGGAGCTCGGGAGGAACAAAGCAGCTGGCCCAGATGGCGTTTCACCATGGGTTCTGAGAGAATGTGCATCTGAGCTCAGCATTCCACTTCACCTGATCTTTCAGGCATCCCTGTGTACAGGAATCGTAGCAGACGTGTGGAAACAAGCTAACATAGTTCCAATCTACAAAAGTGGCAGCAGGGAAGACCCCCTCAATTATAGACCTGTATCATTGACAAGTGTAATAGTGAAAGTATTGGAAAAGCTAATCAAAACTAAATGGGTAGAACACCTGGAGAGAAATGATATAATATCAGACAGACAGTATGGTTTTCGATCAGGAAGATCCTGTGTATCGAATTTACTCAGTTTCTATGATCGGGCCACAGAGATATTACAGGAAAGAGATGGCTGGGTTGACTGCATCTATCTGGACCTAAAAAAGGCTTTCGACAGAGTTCCACATAAGAGGTTGTTCTGGAAACTGGAAAATATTGGAGGGGTGACAGGTAAGCTTCTATCATGGATGAAAAATTTTCTGACTGATAGAAAAATGAGGGCAGTAATCAGAGGCAATGTATCGGAATGGAGAAATGTCACAAGTGGAGTACCACAGGGTTCAGTTCTTGCACCAGTGATGTTTATTGTGTACATAAATGATCTACCAGTTGGTATACAGAATTATATGAACATGTTTGCTGATGATGCTAAGATAATAGGAAGGATAAGAAATTTAGATGATTGTCATGCCCTTCAAGAAGACCTGGACAAAATAAGTATATGGAGCACCACCTGGCAAATGGAATTTAATGTTAATAAATGTCATGTTATGGAATGTGGAATAGGAGAACATAGACCCCATACAACCTATATATTATGTGAGAAATCTTTAAAGAATTCTGATTAAGAAAGAGATCTAGGGGTGGTTCTAGATAGAAAACTATCACCTGAGGACCACATAAAGAATATTGTGCAAGGAGCCTATGCGATGCTTTCTAACTTCAGAATTGCATTTAAATACATGGATGGCGATATACTAAAGAAATTGTTCATGACTTTTGTTAGGCCAAAGCTAGAATATGCAGTTGTTGTGTGGTGCCCATATCTTAAGAAGCACATCAACAAACTGGAAAAGGTGCAAAGACATGCTACGAAGTGGCTCCCAGAACTGAAGGGCAAGAGCTACGAGGAGAGGTTGGAAGCATTAAACATGCCAAAACTAGAAGACAAGAAAAAGAGGTGATATGATCACTACGTACAAAATAGTAACAGGAATTGATAAAATCGACAGGGAAGGATTCCCGAGACCTGGCACTTCAAGAACAAGAGGTCATAGATTTAAGCTAGCTAAACACAGATGCCGAAGAAATATAAGAAAATTCACCTTCGCAAATAGAGTGGTAGACGGTTGGAACAAGTTAAGTGAGAAGGTGGTGGAGGCCAAGACCGTCAGTAGTTTCAAAGCGTTATATGACAAAGAGTGCTGGGAAGACGGGACACCACGAGCGTAGCTCTCATCCTGTAACTACACTTAGGTAATTACTTAGGTAATTACACACACACACACACACACACACACACACACACACACACACGCGGGATCCAAGAGTCAATGCTCGATCCTGCAGACACAACTAGGTGAGTACACACACACACACACACACAAGCTACGAGGAGAGGTTAGAGGTATTAAATATGCCAAAACTAGAAGACAGAAGAAAAAGAGGTGATATGATCACTACATACAAAATAGTAACAGGAATTGATAAAATCGATAGGGAAGATTTCCCGAGACCAGGAACTTTAAATCTATGACCTCTTTTTCTTAAACTAGCTAAACACAGATGCCGAAGAAATACAAGAAAATTCACTTAAGCAAAGAGTGGTAGACGGTTGGAACAAGTTAGGTGAGAAGGTGGTGGAGGTCAAGACCGTCAGTAGTTTCAAAGCGTTATATGACAATGAGTGCTGGGAAGACGGGACACCACGAGCGTAACTCTCATCCTGTAACTACACTTAGGTAATTACACACCCACCCACCCACAACAACCATCCGAACAAGGTACTAGTATGTACAAAACTAGATGTATACATTTTTATAAAGCTGCTTGAAGGCCTTTCTAATGCTCTCCTTCCCTAGAAGGAAATTATATTTCTTTTGCCTTTTTTTCTAAAATGAAAAATACATTTCTTACCTTAATGCCTCCCAAAACATTAAGCTCAACGCTGGAACATACCTGCAAAGGATACACACATTATTATTATTCAAATATTCATGTATATAACTTGTTAATACTGCCAGACCACTGCCAGTATTAACACTGGCAGAGTTAATACTCTAAGTGTATAGTTATAGTATTTGGAAACCTGAAGCATTATTTACTCGCTCAAATTTTTTAATCGTACACTGGAGGATTGATATGTAACCCAATCTAAACACATGAAATAAAACAAATGTGACTTGTGAATCCATCCTGGTAAGTTTCTATTTTATACCCTATAAAGAACCAATTTGGCCATTTGCTAATCAAGGTTATAGAATTTTGGCTGTATCATTTGTAATACTCCACGAATATTTTGGAATCTTTCAATAATTACATAAATTAAACTTTCTTATGAATAAATAAATTTTTTTATGAATTTACCTTGGGCACAGTATGAATGACTTCATCAGCAGGCATGGTGGTTGGGGTGGTGGTTATAGTAGAGGAGGCTGTGCCATTGGTAGTCTCTCCATGGTTGTTCTTTTCAGGAGGAGGATCTAACATGGCCATCCTTTCTAAACGAAGCCGTTTGCAGGGTGGCAAGGGAGGGGGTGGGGAAGGGGTGCGTTCGGGTGCTTCCAAGCGTGGGGGTCTTTCACTGGCTTGAGATACCACTGTGAGGGGTAGAGGCCCTTGAGGAATGCCTGTGGCACTGCAGTTAGTGCTGTTACTACTACTGCTGCTGCTGCTGCTTGGAGGGCCACCAGTCACCCCTTGAGGTGGTGTCGGGAGGGTACCGCCTGCCAAGGAAAGGGGAGGAGGCACCAAATGAGGGGGTAAGTGGAGTTGCGTGGTGAGGTGGTTCCCTTGCTTGTCTGTATGGTGCGGTAACAACTGAGGCACAAGGGGCCTTTCTAAAATGGAAGGTGCAGGTATTCCACCCATTGCTATATTTCCTAGTCCACTTAATGAGGACTTCAATGCTGACAAAGGAGATATGCTGTTCAATCCTCCCTGAAAAAGGATAAGCAAATTATTAGTATACAAATTATATACAGTATACTGTACCATCTATTTTATATAATGTAATATATAGTCCATCTCCTCTTCCTTTCTATCAAAAAGACATAACCAACAATTATCTCGTGAAAGTTAGCTGCCACACAAATTAAAATACAATGGCAAAAACCAAGCATGTGGAGCAACTCACATGGTCTTTACGGTCGTCGGATGATTCTGCCAAGCCTCTGATCTTAAGAGCCTCGGCAGTGTGTAGGAAGGCACCCAACTGAACTTGAGAGATGTTAACCTCCCCCGCATACATGAATTCTAGTAAACTTCTCATGTGTGTATATGCCACATCACGTAATATTATGATCGGGTGTGTACATGGATTTCCCTGTAAAGAACAAAATTACCAACATTAAATTTCCACCAAAGAACAAGTGCAGTAATAAAAACAAAGACAACAATGTAGATAGTTCAACATCTAACATTACAAAACAGATTAACACAGAATTACCAAATATATTAAATAATGCAACCCTCCGAGCAGCGGGCACTTTGATCCTTGCAACCATTGCAAGGAAACTGCAAGGCAAGGTATACAGGCTAGCGTCCCTATAGCCATCAGTAACAGAGGCCCATAATTATATCTACAAATTCAAGTACCGAATTACAGATTACTGTACCAGTAACATCAATACAAACTCTGTTTCCCCTTGTCAGCCAATCGCAACCCACACTTTCAGCACCCTGGTGTCACCAGGTGGCAAAACCTCACACTACCTCAAGTTTACCTACTGTTACGATTGCCGTCTTATGTGCTACCTTTCCGGCTTTAAGTCATTTTCCTACCACCTTTGTACATCCTAGATAGCCTGGAGAACATTTTATTTATGGGAAGGCTGCGAGTTGCAGCATTTTTGAGAAATTCAAGTTTTTAGTTTCAAGGGGAGAAAGTCGCATGAGCAACTTTCAAGTAGCTGAGTGGGTAACACCACGTAAGACAGAAGCTGCTGGTCAAGTGCCGACATGAAAAGGCCCACCGCAGAGATCCCGAACATGTCACAGAGCCACCAGAAGGACACATCATCAACAATCTACTACACAGAAATCATGGGAATAGAATGGAAAGGAAAGACCATCAGCAAGAACATTGGACACATCCTACACATGAACTACATAGAGAGTGAAACCCCGAGACACCAGAAGAGCTACACACAGACCAACTTCACGGAGGAAAAATCCAAAGAGATCCTCCATAATTCAGACAATGAGCTACCAGGGAACAAACAGAGTAGTGCTGGATAATGGAACCCAGGAGATGGCCATGCTGCAGAGCTTGCCACAAATGTGCGTACCATACTATACGTCCAACAGAGGACCCACCTATGACACTGGCTGATCTACTACTGGCCAAAAAACCTTAAACTAGGGCCAAGGAATTCAGTACAAGGTCGAATGATGCAGGAGGAGGGTGCCTCAAAACTAATCCCAGATGAAGGGCGAGCACACGCCCAACAGACCTGGCAGTGGTGAATGGGGTGGTACCGAAGGAAAGAGTAAAGTGCCTGGAGCCATATTCTGCCAATAGGATATACCACGCAGGTAAGGATCAAAGGATCAGGCTCCTGCAAAACAACTATATAAAATGTCACTGAACTTGCGGTAAAAACCAATACCAGATGGAAGAATGCTTGCAGATGGAGCAGAGCTGCCAGCAGCATAGAATCCAAATTTGACCAGAACACACAATGGAATCAAAATGAGACCTCTGCCAAGTCACCAGGAACACAAACCGGGTGAGCTGCAAAAGAAACAAATCCCTATTTTGCAGACATGCAGACTAGTTGTGAGCCCAAACCAGATAGTCATCGGAGCAGGCCAGAAACAGAACCATAACTTCCATAAGGAAAACCCAGTCCCCTGCTCGCCAACAATGTAACCAAACTGCAGATAATTAAGAGACAGCTTCTGGAGCCCTGATTGCAGACCAGGGTCATTAACATGCTTTTCCAAGAAAGATTCTAAAAAGGTCATCAGAAAAAGGATTGTAGAACATTTGAAGATGGTAAATTTTATAAGAGGGGCACACCACATCTTAACGCTTTCTTCCTCCGGGGACGAAGTTGATGTCCACAAATAACTGCAGATGTCCGGCGGGGACGCATGTGGTGCCCAAAATGAAAATACTCGTTAGAATTCCATTTTTTCCCCGATCTCCACTTTGCCAACGCTTCATGTTTCATCCTTCCATGTTTCACAGATTGTTTTATTACTTATTTTTCTTTTTTTACATCCAGAGAGCTTTTATATCCATATGTGCAACATACATGTAAAATCCAGACAATAATTGTTTAAATCTTCTTATGTTGATAACCGCATTACTCTGTGAATCAACAATTGCCAATAACCGCTGTCTAAAGGTTAAATTAATAAGAGGCGGGACAAGGGAGCATCAGTGGAAGCTGGACATGCTATCGAGTCAAAGAACTGTAGGAAGTTCTCATTGCCTGTACTGTACAAGTGATTGGCATGTGGAATGCACTGAAGGAAGAGGGTGTCTAAGCCAAGTCCATCCACAACTTGAAGAAAAAATATGATGAAACTGTTAATGCTGCGAAAAGTAATAAGCACATCAGATATATAAATAACTAGAAGGTGGGGCATAAAAAGCCAGATTTTACTCCCCTGTAGTCACCGATAAGTAAGCACCTTTCCCCAAGTCGGAAAAAGTGACACGACACAAGCAACACTAGGACAAGTGCAGTTGGAGGCTACAAGTAATACTTCAACCCCCAAAAAGACAGGAAGCTGCAAGCAAGGGCGAGGAATGGGATTGACAATCTCAACAGGGTTGCAAACGTGATGTAAATATATATACGCATGCCCTGTCAAAGACAAATGTGAAAAGAGCGAGATGCCAACAAATGTCGGACCGAAGGCAAACAATCAAGCTGGAAATGGGGCATCCACAGACCCTCTTCTGGCTCCTCCCAGCCGTGAAAGCACCAAGAAACAAAAACTTTGGGGTTAGAGCCATGATCTGCACTTAATGCTGTGGATTGAACAGCATGTTATCTGTGGGAAAAAACTATGCCTTCCGAGAAATAGTTCTAGCTAGAAAGTATTTGCATAACTACTTCTGCCGCCACTGCAGAAGGGGCAATCACAAGAGAAGGTCCAGCTACACACTAGAACCACCCATCACAGACTCCATGTCAGAGGGGCTAGGGGAAGGGAGAAAGAGGGGTAAACTTTGAATTAGTGAAGTACATGAGGCTCCCCAATGCAATTCCCAACCACAAGGGGGGTGGGAGCCCCAATGCAATTCCCAACCACAAGGGGGGTGGGAGCAATGTTGGGACAACCAGTGACACCAAACACCAAAAACAAACACTAGGAAACCATTTCCCGAGTGTCTGCTGCCTAATAAATTCATGAATACAAGACATAAAACAAATTATAAAACCTCATCCTTGAAGAGAGGCGCAGCAAGAATGTATACCCAATGATGTAACAAGTTGCAGGTCTCCAGGTGGAAGAGTCAGCCACCCAATAGGCAGCATGGCAGAGGTAGAGGAATGACCAAGCATGTAACAATACTAACAGGTATCCTTAATACTCCCAAGATGCAAACATGGGATCGATGCAAGCATACCGGAACAAATGTAGATATTTTCAAGATAAATCTAGTTTTCTTCAAGAAATGCAGGACCAACTGGGCTGGTGGTGGTTATGTGGGCCTCCAGGCCACTCCAAGCAACAGCCTGTTGGACCAATCTCTCAAGTCAAGCCTGGCCCTGACCTTGACTTGGGGAGTTGAACTCCCAGAGCTCCATCTAGCAAGTATCCAGCAGGTGGGCCAAGCCATTATAATCCTCACTATCCATGTGGCTTACCAGGGTCTGTAGGTAAAGACCAAGCAGGTAAACCAGGCACTAAAGATACTCTCCGAGAAGAACCAACACCAAATGGAGCACCAAAGAAAAACATGACTGAAGAGCATCACCAAGGACTTACAGGCTATTCATGCCTGTGCCACCTCTTGGGTGGCTTAATCATCTTCATTCAATCAATCACCAGGGATGCCATATGTATAATCATGGAAGGTTACCTTGACCTTGAGGTGCTTCCGGGGCTTAGCGTCCCCGCGGCCCGGTCGTCGACTAGGCCTCCTGGTTGCTGGACTGATAAGCCCTAAGACTGGAAGCCCTAATGAACTTCTTAAACAATAAAACCCCAGAATGCTCACAACCTCAGAACTTCACAGAGGAGTCAAAGGCACATGTACTACTTGTATGATTTGTTTCTTTACTTTCTGGGGGAATGGGGTGGATTATTTGGCGATTACGAATTCCTCCCCCCCCCCCTCATGCTCTCGGCACCTCTGAGAAGTATCAGAGGGCGGGGGGGGGGGGGGAAGGGGGGGGGAAGGGGGGTAGGTTTTGGCCTCTGGTCTTCACTAAGCTTTTAATGCCTTGCTATCTCAGTGCAGCTACCAACAGAAGTTGCCATTTGGCCCCTCCAGAAAAAACAAGTCTGGTTGGAGGCAATTTGTAGGGAAGCAGTAAGTGTATTTATTATGTACTGTATATAACAATTCACAAGAAGCACTGTACATCAGGTCTTATGAAGCTGTGGGGTGCTCCTGTGGATGATTGCTGGAGTGTGGTGGTGTTTCTTTATATATAATACAACATGAAAATAATAACCCACTATTTCGAAAACATGAGGAAATGTAATCAGTACTGAGGAATCCCGTGTGACGAGCAGCCCCATCTACAAGCATTTCAAGTATCGAGCGAGCCACTCACAGAAAATTTGTCTCCATTGTCGAGCTTCTGCTTGATTAACGAGAAAACCACGTGGTACTTCCTAGCATTCCCACTGGTTCTCACAAATTCTCGGATGCCTCCGACGACAGTGTTGTTGTTTTATCGCGCAGGACAAGTATCCCTTTGCACTTATTTGCGCTTATTTGTAGGGTTTTTGTGGTTTTGTGACTACAATTTGTAACCCACAATGTTGCCGAAGCTGCTGCTTGCTAAAGATACTGTTGTCAGGAGGAAGACAGACAATTACTGTAGATTTCAAGAAGGAAATTGCCTGACTCGGAGGTGGATTCTCCTTCCACACCGTAACCCCTCTCCTCCTTCCCATCTCCCCATCGCCTCCCTCGAGCCAGCAATGACTCTTCATAAGGTAAAGTGCAATTGAAAATGGTAAAACAAAACAGTTATAATAATTACATGTATTATAACTACATTATAAAATTTCATTGATGTTTTTCGGGGGTGGAAAAGATTAATTTATTTCCATTATTTTAAATGGGGAAATTCGTTTCGCAAGACGAGCGTTTCACATGACGAGCTCAGTGCCGAAACGGATTAAATTCGTTAATCGAGGCTCCTCTGTATTTCAATCCTGGGGTTGGGATTCATATATACAGTACAGTCTACATTTCCTCATGTAATCAAAAAGTGGGTTATTATTTTCATTGATTAGTGCATCATTGCACTTCATTCTCATTATGTAATATATGTATTCGATAAATGTGACCATGGAGTGATAGCACGTAAAATGAGGTCAATGGGAATAACTGGTAAAGTAGGACAGTGGATACTCAATTTTCTGTCGAACAGAACACAGTAACAGTCAAGCAAATGAATTCGAGTCCAAGCTCGATTAAAAGCTCTGTGCCTCAGGGTACAGTCCTTGCACAACTGCTTTTCCTTATTCTCATATCACATATAGACAAAAATACAAGTCACAGCTTCATATCATCCTTTACAGATGACACAAAATCAGCATGAAAATTACCTCTGCTGAAGACATTGAAAAACTACAAGCAGATATTGATAGACTTCGACTGGGCAGCAAAACACAATTAGATTTGCCCATAGTAGAAAAGCAGCAGATAAAGGATTTGCGAATAATGATGTCTGACGACCTAACGTTTAGGGAGTATAACCAAGCAAATATTGCGTCAGCCAGAAAAATGATAGGATGGATTACGAAAACTTTCAAATCCAGGGATCCCATCATAATCTTTGTACTGTACTAAACAAATCCCTTGTGTCCCATCTTGAGTACTGCTCAGTACTCACTTTCTCCTTCAGAGCAGGAGAGATTGCCGACAGAGAAAGTTCAGAGACCATATACGGCATACATAGAAATGATAAAGCACCTAAATTATTGCGATCATCTCAAAGCTCTTCAAACGTACTCCCTAGGAAGAAGACGAGAGAGATATCAAATAAGATACACGTAGAAAATACTGGAGGACCAGGTCCCAAATCTACACAGTAAAATAATAACACACTGGAGTGAACTATATGGAAGCAAATGCAGAATAGAACCAGTGAAGAGCAGAGGTGCCATAAGCACAATCAGAGAACACTGTATAAACATCAGGAGGTCCACAGTTGTTCAACATCCTCCCAGCGAGTATAAGAAATATTGCCAGAACATCAAGAGAAAACTAGATTGATTTCTTCAAGAAATGCCGGACCAACTGGGCTGTGGTGGTTATGTGGGCCTGTAGGCCGATCCAAGCATCAGCTTGTTGGACCAAACTCTCAAGTCAAGCCTGGCCTCGGGCTGAGCTTGGGGAGAAGAATTCCCAGAACCCCATCAAGCAAATAAGCAGGTATATAGTGTACAGTATATTATTTCCCCCATTTTCTCCTAACTGATGCCTTCCAGCTCATGAAAATGGGACCTACTGATAATGAATAAATTAATAAAAAAAAAATTTGGGTTGTAGGAGAGGGAATGCAGTGCATTATGATAGTTTGGGATGCTAATGGTCCGAGTGTTTGCATAAGCTACACAACTCGTGAGCAGAGATGCTGAGGCAATGGTGTTAATTCATTCACAAATTACACACAGCCTTGAATGGTGATTTTTCCTTTTAAATAAGTGTTGCTTTGATTATTTGGGTATTGATGATTGAATCTCCAACCATGTAACAACAATTTGAGTTTATGAATTAATTCGCAGCTTGTCAGTGAACAAATTTTGTTGAGGAAGACCAACTATACCAGAAGTGCCAGCAACCAGGGTACTGGATAATTCTCTAGACATGTATAATGACATAACGTGAGAGCCAGTAGTATGTATACCTGATAAACAAAAAAACAGAAAATACATATATCATTTCTACCAACCTGTAGAAGCTCCTTGAAGTAAGGACTGCACGCTGAGAGGACAACCTTGTGTGCCTTCAGTTGTTGACCGTCACAAGCTAAGGTAACATCCACAAAGTGCTCCCCTTCCCTCAAGGTCTCAAACTCTGCTGTTATGTTTGTGCGGTAGTTATTCCACCGCAAGCAGAAGTGTTGTTCCACCATCTGCAAAAAGATAAAACCAATATTAATACATATAAAGCTATGCTAAGTTAATTTCCTTACCCTAATTTAAAGTTTTAAGCTATGTATCTCATTTTCATCAACCCAAACATAATCTTTGTACTGTACATGTATGCATACACACTTAAACCACCAAACTAACATTTTCAAGGAAAGGGAATCCCCAGAGGGATGACGAATATGAAGAGTAATCCAGTGGAAGGAGATATCAACAATACAGGAAGGAGATATCAACTATTAATACAGGTGGCTCTCAAAATGTTGCAGAGTACAGTCACAAATTTGAATGAATAAAATCTGGTGGGTGAGGTGTTGCAGAGTTTGTATGCATGTGTGTGAGTGTGTGTATTTATGTATGCATGCATGCATGTATTCACTTAGTTGTGCTTGCGAGGGTTGAGCTCTGCTCTTTTGGCCCGCCTCTCAACTGTCAATCAATCAACTGTTACTAACTATACCCCACCCCCAGGAAGCAGCCCGTAGCAGCTGTCTAACTCCCAGGTACGGTACTTATTTACTGCTAGGTAACAGGGGGCATCAGGGTGAAAGTAATTCTGCCCATTTTTGTTTCTCGCCGGCGCTAGGAATCGAACCCCCGGCCCACAGGATTATGTGTCCCGCCTGCTGTCCATTCAGCCACCAGCGCCCTGGTGTGTACGTGTGTGCAAGTCATATGTAAAGATTTATGTAGAGGGAGTCGAATGCACTATCAGTCAGCCCTAGGCTACGCGGCTACATTTACCACTGGTAAACACAGTCATCCCAGTCCTCTTACTTAGTTTCCATTGTTTTTTTGCTCACTACTCATACCAACACTTTTCTCCCTTTTATTTATAAAACCCATGATCTGCTTCATTTTCTGTTTTATGTCGGAAAGAGTATTAGCACCAATGCCATACTTCTTGGCCAGACACTTGCCTCCCCCAGTCACGATCATGTTTCTAATGAAAATTACAGTACAGTACTGTACTTTCCAACTAATCTGAAGCTTGGAGGTGAAGATCAGGTTAAGCAGATTTTATCCATATTTTAAGGAGACCCGTTATATGGCGGTCCCGACTCTGAAGGGTACACTATAGTTATGGATGATGCAATACACTGTAGGATAAGGCAATATGCCAAAAATGTGAAAGTTCAAAGAATAAATGATAGAAAAAATGCAAAAGCAGAAACTTTATCCTGTAAACTGCAAACAAATAATCACTTATGTTATACAGTATATGTACAGTACTAGCTTAAAGCGCAATATTGTACTGTACTATCAAATGTGGTGAAAAAAGGCACATCTGACCACTGTACCTCTGGCTCTCATCACCAAACTCTCATACATAGACATATAATACCTTAACTTTTGTTTACAATTCACATTTACATGCACTGTAGCTTTGTGCATTTCTACATGCTAGCTCATATACTATGAGATATGGAGTGAAGCGAGGTATGCCGATTTTAGTTGTCAGTGTCAGTTTTCACTGGTAGCCAACTGATACCTCATGCAAGCTCATATGCCACCACAGGATACAAGTAGCAGCTCACAGTTGCCGAAGAAGTCTTTCCGTTAACCTGACCTGATTTTTGGTTCAAAACATAAAACAAAGCCCAGTACAAAATCCTTCAGTGAATACGGTTTTATTCCAAGAGCTGTTTGTGTCCAGCTGCAATCATTTCTAATGCTGTACTGATAATTGGTCTGATAAAAGCAAGTTTTGCCAAAACACTTTTGTCAAAGGACTGCAATGATCATACTTCTTTAACATTAGATTGCAACTTAATCCATAAACTCGCACCAAAGTACACTAGAACCTCTGCCACGTCCACAGTCCATGACCAAGTCTCTTATGAAGGCTAGACCAAAGCTAAATAATTGCACCAAAATAACTGATGCAGCTAAAAAGAAGCTACAGCCAATGCAGTTTATGGCTCAACTCACCATCAGGAATTAGTTGAGAGGAGAGAGAATCAAGTTGTGAATAGCGAAGAAAGCATAAGTAGACTCCCAAAGATAGACAAACATGAAATGTTGACAAGCCCAAAGGAACCTGCAAATCAACACAGCATCAGAGATTAAAGCAGACAAATTAGGCAATCAGACACAGTATCCATAGCGACAAAACCCGAATGAAACTACTACTGAACACAACTGGATGGTAAAAAGTTCCAATGCCAAACACAAATAGAGAACTTGTTAGTCTACTGTTAGCCTTGTTAGTCTACTAAAACCAAATTTGAAGGGGCAAAAGAGGATGATTAACAGATTTAAGTGTCACTCCCCCAGAGAAAAAAACTATAAATATGGAGATGTCTCTCCACTTTTAAAAGTTTGAGTATGAGAACACAGTTGCTCCATTTCCAAAGAAAAGAATGGACTACACAGAAATCACAATAGCGTGATATATCAAATTAACAAACCCACAAGGGCCGTGATGAGGGTTTGAAGCTATGCAGGGGGATGTTCCCAGCTGCGCCTTAGTCAACTGCACCATGACAACCATGTCGTGGTGCAGCTGACTAAGGTGCAGCTGAGAACATCCCGTGCATAGGTTCAAACCCTTATCACGGCCCTTGTGGATAAGGGGGGGGGGGGGGGTTTCCCTTGTGGATAAGGAGTGGATAACGGAGGTTTCTGCCTCCGCCGTGTATCGAACCCGGACCCTTAGGACTACGAACCCCGGGCACTGTCCACTCAGCTGTCAGGCCCCCTTGCTCATTAGGGGTAATACCCCAATAAGATTAATATTAGTCTTATTATTTTTTAGCAATCATCAAACAAAAAAATAAAGAGCACACCAAATTAGTCTTTCATAAGACTATTGCAAATTACTACTACAACACTTCCGACTTTCATGGAGTCAAGAGGATTCGGTGGAGAACAAGAGGTGGAGGAACATAAAAGGAAAATACGGCTAAAGATCTTGAAGACAGACCTGTTCATTCACCATCCTATACACTACACAGCATCACACGAAAACCACCACCTTCAAACTCCAGCCAATCATCCAGCCACAGCAGCACCCAATCACTTCACGAGACGAGCTAAGCTATACAAGGCTCCTCATGATTTGTCATTTAAACAAAACACAACCTCTTGACACACTGCAGCCACCTTACCTTGTCCCCCTACCACATCTCCGCTTTCTCACAAAACCACCACGTTTTAACACTTTACACACACAAATCACAATAGCGTGATGCATCAAATAAACAAGGCTGCGGGATTCAAGTTCAGTAGAACTTCTGGTTTCAACTCTTGATCATGTCGTAGCTCAGTCCATTAAGGCAGCATCTGGGATGCTCTCGGACGTAGGTTCGAATCCTCGTCACGGCCCTTGTGGATTTGTTCACTTGACCACGTTAACAATTGGTTCCACGCCACTAACCGGTCTCGGTACACATTCCTTAATTTGGTAGCATACCAACTTTTGCACTCTACATCTTATTATATCATTTTCATTTTCTTCCTCTCTTATCCTAACATCACAGACATTTCTCAAGACCATCCAATTCTAGTCTTCTATTCTTGATTCTTCATGTTCGTACCACACACACTGGCATCCAACATCCACATGTAAGGGTAAGCACCACCATCACTTTCACGGAGCCGTCTGATCACATCTTTCGATATTATTCTTTAAAAACTGAGTTTTCACTGCACCAAAAACTATATTTTCCTTGAATTACTCTGCTCTCAACATCACTTGCACAAAGTTCTCTTCAATTACACATCACAAGTATTTCAAAACAATAAATGTACTTTATGTATTCAAAACTTTAAGCATCACTTTACGCCACAATGGTGCTGCACATACTGTAAAATCTTTAACAACAAACCAATCGGCATTTTCCCGAACAGGAATTCTAGCAACAAACCTTAAGCATTTGTTCACTCGACAAATCTAAGAACAAGCTGGTGAAGGTGGTATCGGCTCCTAACACTGGCAGGAGACCTAGAGCCTCGTGTAGTCAAAACATTGAGGCAGACGCTACAAATGTCATTAGTGTACTGCTTGAGGCCTTATTCCACATGCCGGAAATATGTAGCGTTGCCCGAAACGCTGTGTACTACAGGTAGTGGCTTTAGGTATTGTATGTACTAGCTCTATCTTTTAAATTCCAACATTATGTTTGTAACTCAACCTTCAATGTATGTACCTTTACCTGAATAAAAAAAAATCTAAAAAAATCTAAATCTTATCTATACTGTACTGTACTTATTTAGTCTATATTAGGTTATTAATAACAGACTAATAGTAGGTGTAACTGATAGTTACTTCATTTCAAACTTATTTCTATTTCTAGTCTAACCAAGTAAAGCTTAAGCAACAACCTAACTTAACCAATTAATTACAACAGCTTATTCCATCTAGAAAAACTCGGCCAAGTTAGAACAAGTCGAAACTGAAACAAGGTCACGACTATTGGCTTTAATTGCTTACTGTCGTGGCAAAGCCGAGCAGTAACTGCACCAGGTACTGACACCAAAATAACTCTCCTAATTAAACAAGTACACCATTACTTGACCCAATAATCTCAAGATCCACTCTAGTGTCATCTCCCTCACACATGACAACTGTTAAGACCCTTCCCCCCCTTACACCTCACAGAAGTCTACACCTTTGACCCAACTTTCCACCACTACCACCACTGTGACAACTGACCTCACCACACACTTAAACCTGACACACTTAATCCCAACACACACACTTAAACATGACACACTTAAACTTAAACTAGACACATACACTTAAACCCAACACTTAAACTCGACACACTTAAAGCCGACACACACACACACTTAAACTGACCTCACCACACACTTAAACCCGCCACACACACTTATAAGTCCGAGTGTCTCAAGACAGTGCCCCAAGAATGCAGCAAAAGTACCAAATTGATTATGACTTTGGCAATTGGCGTTGCAAATAGAGCGAATATGAGTGAGTTAGAGGAGAAGGCAAGGCAGGGGCAGGCAGGGGAGGGGCATG